GATCAGTTCAATCTATGGTCACAAATGTTAGTGGCATGAACCTCCACTGCGGCGAACGAGCCCAGACGTACCTCCTGCTTCAGGCCCTCGAGCCACTCGGGATGCCGCTTCTCGACGTGCTTCTTCCAGAAGTGGTCCTCTTTGAAGAGCTTCTGGCACTCGGGCACCTTGCAACGGAACTTGTGCTCATCCTCTTGCCTCACATACTTGAGAAGCTCCTCGTCCATGGCCTCATCGATGGGCTTGCCGCCAAGCTTGCGCAGGTCGACCGAGTCGGGCTCAAGAATCTGCATGACCTTGTCCTCAAACGTCTTGACCCAGTTGTACGCCCGCAGCAGCTGCTGCTCGGCCTTGCCGCCCGCTCCGCGAAACCGCCTGTCGCCGCCGTCGGCCACCTCGCCATCTTCGTCTGCCTCGCCACGCTTCTTTCCAGGAAACGGCTCGCCGAGCGCGCTGGCCTTGGCCACAGCCTTGGCAGCAGTGCTGAGCGTGGCACGAGGCCGGCGTAGGTGGCCGCCGGGGCACTTGCGGGTGAGCTCGTGGATCGAGTCGCTCTCGAAGACGCAGTAGAAACAAAAGTTGAAGACGCGTCGAAGATACTCAATCATGAGGTCCAGCTGCTTCTTCTTGACGAGTAGTTCCTCGTCGTCGACCTCGTCGTCTTCGTCCACGGCGCCCTCGTCTTCCTCCTCGCCTTCGGCGTCTTCCATCTGCTCGGCATCATGCATGTGCTCAGCGTCGGCCCCATCGGCAATCCGCGCGGCGGCGGCGGCCCTTTGGCTTGGGAGGAACTGCGGGCTGCAAACGGCCCGCGGCTGCGGAGGTCATCGACCCTTTCCTCGATCTTGAGAATGGCATTAAAGTCGGAACCAAAGTCTTCCTCGAACCTGTTTACAAGGCGCTGCACGAGAGCGAGGTCCTTCTCCACGCGCTCAGGCGTGGAAAACAGATCCCACAGCGCCTTCTTCCGAGGGGCTTGGGGCGGGTTGTGCACTCCCACATGGCAGGTGAAATCGCCGCGAGATTCGTCCTTCACAGTCTTGCCATTGATCGCGTCGAGGGCCCTCTCGCCGTGGACACGACAACGGGCGATTTGGGAGCCTCGCCGTCCTCGTCGTCCACGGGGTCCGCTCGGTCGAGTGTTGCTGCGGCCGTCTCGGAGGATGGGTGCAGCATGACCCAGCCGATGCGATGGTATCGCTTGCTGGGGTTGGGGTCCGACAGCGACAGCCATTTAAAGCCGCCTTCCTCTTCTCCCAAGTGCTCCTTGCAGAAAGCCTCGAGGTTTTGGCGGCTGACATGCGGGGCGATCGTCTTGAAGAGCAGCGTCGGCTGGAACAGGTTCTCGTCACGGATATCGGCGCCGTTGGCAGGCACAAGGTCGCCGACGCCCAGAATCTCGTTGGTTGCCATGGCCTCGCCCTCTTCCTTTTCCACTAGGCCGCCTTGGCCGTTGCTATCGTTCTTCGGCAGGCCTTCGAGCGAGAAGTCATCAAAAGTGCCAGACTCGAGATCCTGCTCCCACTGGGTGTAGCCGCCGCGGCGGAATTCGCTGATCTGCTGGCGTAGCGGGTCGCGGACGTCTGGGACGTAGCGCTCGCGGAACCACTGCTCCTTCTTGTGCTCCGAGACGAAGGCTCGGGCCATCTTGGCCTGAAGGTCCTCCTTGTAGCTGTCGTAGGCGGCCTGAATCCTGGCCTTCTCCTTGTCGCGCTCTTCTTGCGCCTCACGAGAGCCGCGCGGCCTCTCGGGCTCGCGTCGCCTGCCGGTACGCTGGCGCTCCTTGTCCTCCTTGATCTTCTCGTTCATACGCCACCATTCGCCAAAGTAGGAGAATCCGACCTGGTAAGGAAGCTTGACAGGGTCCATGAGAGGGTTGACAGTGAGCGATGGCCCTCCGTTGTCTTGGCCGGGCACGTAGCGGTCAATGTTGGCGGGCGGCGACCCGATGCGGCGATCACCGCGGCGGTCGTCCCTGTCGCGGCCGTGGTCATCTCGGCGACCTCGGGGTTCGTACCGGTCGACAGCAGCGGGTGATCTCGAACGACGGCGGTCTCGCGAGCGTTCTGCGCCTTTGAAAACAGTAAGCTTTGTGTCAAGTATGGAAAGGAAGAAAGAGGCGAGTCAGCGGGTACAGGCAGAATCGCGCCTTCAGCGAGCGATCACGGCCTTGGCACCATGGGTAGAGGAGATATGAATGGTGAGAAGTGAAAGCACGCCCCAGGGGAACGGGCGCGGTAGGAGTCGGAGCGCTCCGTCTTCTCCCAATTCCTGTCGCCGGGCGACCGAGCAGGCTCGCGGTAGGATGAATACGAATCCATCTCGGCTTGAGTATCGGTCTAGGTCGGTCGGCTGGTGCGATCCCAGTCCGGGGGCACAGTTGGGGGCGTGTCTTGTATCGCTTCGGTCGGTCGACTGCTCGTCAGGAAATCCCGTCTTCTCGCTTTCTTGTGGTCGGTTTGGTGATGCTGTTTGGCGTCATGTTTGCGGTTAGACAAGTCAATCGCCAAGGTTTGAGGAAGAAAGCGGGAAAGGGGAGGGAAGAGATGGCAAGAGAGAAAAGATGGAAGAGCTCGATCAACGAACTGAAGAATAGGACGAGGGCAGAGAAAAGACGATAGCCAATACAGGCCGATGAAGGCGAAGGGATTGAGGGGGGGGGGGCAGAGAAAAGATTGGGAGGTCATGAGATGATGGGAGGAGGCTGGCCGGGCTGTTGCAAACGTGCAGCGACAGCGACGGCGACAGCTACAGCGTAGGTAGTAGGAGGATTGGAGGACTCGCAAGATAGGAAGATGAAGAGGGGGAGAAAGGGGGGATAACGAACAATCAATTGATGATGGCAATGGCGACGAGGCCTTGTCCCGTGGGTTGGTGGTTGCGAAGACGCGAGACAGCGGCTTGCGAGGCGGAAGGTGAACTCTGGGACGGACCTGAACGGGACCGACCTGGTCTGGAGAGCTGCAGGACGCGCTCGTTCGCTTGCTCGCATGGAGGGGATACGTACCGGCAAAGCGGCGATCCAGGGCCACTCACGGCCCTTTGACTGGAGCCTGGCGCCCCGGGACGGCCTGGCGCCTTAGCAGAACCCACCAATTGCACTATGCGATAATGCTATAAGGGCCCAATGGTGGAAACGATGTTGATCCCAGTAAAAAATACCTGACGCCCAAAATCCGTATTTGGTAGTGCTTTTGCCAGTGACCCCCCAAGTTGACCTGGCGGGATGACAAGGAGGACTTGACAGCATCGTGAACTCTGCACGTCTTGTGAGCCTCGCTGACACACCCTTGCCTGTCCGTTCGACGAAGAATCTTTCCGCTTTCCAATGATCCCCCCTTGCAAATGCCCTGACAAAACATGGGCTCAGATGCCTCTCGGCCTTCGGTGTTTTACGTCATCGCAAGTTCATAGCTTTCCAGTGCCTGAATGCCCCCGCTGGGCGGCACCCTTGACCCGTGATCACACCCTCCCCCCCCCCCAACATCCCCAACACATTTGGTCCTCGAACCACTTCTCCTGCCCACGATCCAACCTTGCTCTCTTCCTCTCCCATACGCTCCCTCTCCTACCGCGTGCAACCATTCAAGATGACCACATTTATTCCTGCTCTCACTTTGCCTCGCCAGGTCTTTGACATCCGGCAACCTCAATCCTCCTACCCATCGCCCTGGGAACTGCCGTCGGCTACACTTCAAGTCGCAAGTTTCCCCTCCAACCCCCGCGCGGCCTTGCGCCACGGCCGTTGGCAACGCGTCTTCGCCAAACTTTAGCTGACCCTCTTGCTCGCAGGCGCCAACACTCTCAAGACCTACGCCAGCATCAAGAACCCTCCCGGAAACCCCCCTCCCTATGTCTTCGGCCCCGTCTGGACTGTCCTTTACGGGTACTACTTTCTCCCTTCAACACTGTCCTTCCCCGGCATGCAAAAATCGCCAGACTGACCCAGGCTGTGCCCTCCTCCTAGGCTGATGGGCTACGCTGCCTACCGCGCCGTCTCCATCGGCCTCGCCCCCGGTGCCACCTCCGCCCAGGCCGACCTCACGCGTCACGGCGCCACCCTCTACTCTATCCAGCTCGCCCTCAACCTCGCCTGGACGCCGCTCTTCTTCGTCTTCCGCCGCCCCGCCGAGGCCACCGCCGATATCATCTCCCTCCTCGGCGTCAACGCCTACCTCGCCTACGTCTGGGGCCAGGTCGACCGCACCGCCGGCCTGCTGCAGCTGCCCTACCTCGGCTGGCTCAGCTTCGCCACCTACCTGTGCGCCGGCGCCGGCTACCTCAACAACTGGGACATCAGCGAGAAGAGCGAGGCGGAGCCCAAGGGAAAGGGCAAGGCGCTGTGAGGCAGTCGCAGTAGCGCATGCCCTGTTGGCACGGCAGAATGTATATGAGAGCGCCCGGTTGACCCATGCATGTTCTTGAAAGAAGACCACAATCTATTCCATTGCCCAAACCAAGTGACGAATGCGAAGAGTCAAAAGGCGTATACTTTAGTCTGTACGGATTCATTTCGGTGTAAACACCCTCTATGCAATGACGAGTAAAAGTGCAGCAGCAACGAATCTTTGCAAACAGAATTCCATCAGAAAACCCCCCTTCCCGAAAACGCCTGCTAATGCCATGAAGAATCGCCGTGCCACATCCTCTGCGCAACCAATCCATCCCTCGTTCTCATTTGTTTCTTCTATGCATCCTCTACTGAATGGGAAAGTGCCTCTTGAGTCCGTCAAACACCATGAAGATAAACGCCGAGCTGGGCGCCGACCGCAGGCACGTCATGCCGCAGCCCCGGTACAGCCCCGCGAGGCCATACTGCCGCCAGAGGAGGGCGCCCTCTTTCCAGAACGTCCGCTCCTTGACCGACTCGCCAATGGCCATGGTCTGCAGCCGCGACTTGATCGTGTCGGCGGGGAAGAAGAGAAAGTTGTACGAGATGCCGGCCGAGGCGCCGGCGACAGCCTGCTGCCACAGCGGCAGCGGCGCCGCCGCCAGCGCGTCCCTCTCGGCCGGCGTCGTCGCCGCTTTTTCGTTGACGGCGCGGAACAGCTTGGTCGCCGTCTCCTTGCTGCCGAACCACGCGGCGCCGCCGCCCGACTCGCGGATGAGGCAGCCCAGCTGCCCGTGCCAGAAGCCGCGCAGGCCGTGGTGCCGGTAGATGTCGCGGATGACGGGCAGCGGCTTGAGCGGCGCGGGGGCGCTGCCGTCGGCGCGCGCCGGCACCTGGATCTTGCACTTGACGAGCTCAATCGGCGTCAGGACGTACGAGGTGAAGAAGCCCGAGAAGGCGCCGGTGAAGTAGAGTGCTGCCAGCGAGAGGGGCTCATCTCTGGTCGCCACGCCCGACAGGAAGATGGCCTCTCGGCCGAGACGCTCGAAGAAGAAGAGGCTGCTCGTCTCCGCCGCCGCGCCCACGAGAGGCGCTGTGATGCCACGGTAGAGACCGAGCAGACCGTCGGCCTTGATAGACTGGCGGAAGCAGTCGATGGGGCCTTTGTAACGGAGGGGCAGGTTGTCGGGTTGGGATTGGAGGCGAACCTTGACCGTGTCGAAGGGGTATTCGATATATTTCCCGATAACGCCGGCAGCCTGTAACATGCGTGTCAGCTTTGGAGCGGTTACTTGGTTCGCGAGTGTTCTTACTGAGCCGTATACAACATCTTCCACGGCTTCTGCCGCGGCTGCGCGGGCAGTCACTGGCACGACGACCTCGTGTTGAGGGACTTCCATGATGCCAGCCGTTGTCTCCATGGCAAGAGAAAGTGTGCTACCAGAGTTCCCGGCTTGAAGCCCCGTGACGAGAGGGTAAGTAAAGCGCGTGCTTCTCCGGGCGCCTAGCGAGGGGGCGGTGAGGAGGTTTCGCTTCGAGAGCGTCGGGAGGGGTCGAATGCACACTCGTCGAACAGGCGACCGGCAACGCCCGATAGCCCAAAGGCCTACTCAGGAAAAAGTCTTTGAAGCCTGTTGTTTATCTCAATCGTTGTTGAGTTGTGAAGCTCGTGGCTTCACGGTTCGTCGAGGGGAGGCGCGGGGCAGAAGCGGTCTGGGAGTTACGCCAGCCAGGTGCGAAGCCGATACCGGGGTGGTTGGCGGCGATGGGACTGATTAGGCTGAGGCGACCTCTCGCGGCGGGAGGGCCAGTGTTATGAAGGGGCGCGAGAGTGGAAAACACCGAGATACCTCAGACCCATTGCTTCATTTGACAGTGGCAGGTTGACAGGAAGGTGGCACGCTGTGTGTCGATTTTTTCCTTTCAGGTGCAGAATTGGGCCGTGACATCAAGCGGCGGCGATAAGATTAGATAAGATGGATCACAGGCGACTCATCAGGCCTGGGCCTCGGGCGCCTTTTTGGCGTTGCGGGGTGGTTTTGGCGGACACCGCCGATACGCCACACCAAACCCATGCTCAAGGCCATCTGATCATCTCGGTACTTCTGATGGCTCGGCCGGAGAGCTTCTCGGATGGTCGGATATCGACGTATCTAGCATCACCGCTACTTCAGACCGAGCAGGGGCCGGAGGTTTAGGGCAAAGGCCCGTCATGGTGGCTGATGGATGCTAAGGAAGTTTTCGTCGTGCTTGTGCATGTGAATAACACCATCACCTGGCCGTTGAAGTGTTTGTCATCGAGTCTGCTACTTGGTTCTGTCAGTCTACCTGTCTCGCGCCCGGTCAAACATATAACTGTCATTTTGGTATACAAGAATTCCTTCTGTGTAAAGTACGTCAAGTATTGGTAAATCGGTCACCCTTACGTATATCGGACAGACCGTAGGAGAGCGACTGTATCAGTACCGAATCAGCGCCACAAAGACAGATAACCGTCGCATTCAAGTTCAAATAAACCAGCAGCGTGGACTGTCATGGTGGGACGTCTGGGTATCAATTCATCTATCTATCCGATGACTTCTTGCTGTACCCCTTCTGGGGCCTTTGCTGGGCAGCCTCATGTCTCCGCAGCTCCTCAGGCACCTTCGAGATGGAGCTCTTCGTGAGGATCTGCTTCATATCGTACATGAGATCCGAATCCTCAGGGCCAAGGAAAGTGATGGCAACACCACTCTTTCCTGCACGACCGTACGGCCGATACGGTGCGATATGACTCAATGTAGTAGCCATGTTGAAATTGACAACAAGCGGAACGTCTGCAAACGTCGATACCCCGACCGCGAGATCCGTTGCACAAGGACATCTGTCTGCCCATTACGCACCAGATGCAGCGCGGCTCTCGCTGGTCCTGCGTCTTGCTGCCGTGGAGGGTAACGGCAGAAGAAACCCATGTGCTTAACGTCTCGTGCCACAGCATCGCAGTTCCGCTTGATGTTGACGAAGACGATGATGGGAGGCGCGAAATCGCCCGAAGAAGAGGATCTGTTGCAGCCGTTTCTTTCGCTTATCCTCCCCGGAGACGAACTCGACGCGCTGTTCGACTGTATCAACGGCTTCGCCGATGTTTCCAATCGTGACAATAGCCGGTCGCCGCAGGTATTTCTTGGCGATTCTCTCGACGACGCTAGGCATGGTGGCCGTGTACATCATTGTCTGTCGGTATCGATCCTTTCCTCCCAGGTAGCGCTTCATGAGCTGCGCGTTCTCTGCCTCATCCGTGTCAGGTTTCTCGTTGGAAACCGGTAGCGCGTCTAGAATCTTGTTCACAGGTTCCTCGAAACCGAGATCGATCATTCGATCAGCCTCATCCATAATAACATAGCAGCACTGTCCCAGAACCAGCAAACGCCGCTCGATACAGTCCACAAGTCGACCAGGTGTGGCGACAATGATCTCTGCTCCGTTGCGAAGGGCAAAGGCTTGCTCTTCCAATGAGTGACCACCAACGATGCTGACGACTCTGAATCCTAGTGGCGTCGCAAACTTGTTTGCTTCAGATTCGATCTGCTGTACAAGCTCTCGGGTGGGTGCTAGGATGAGGCCGTACGGCCCGTCGTTCTTGTTCATTTCGCCCAGAGGGGGCAGGTCAGAGATGTAGACCAGTAGCGGCAGCAAGAATGAAGCTGTTTTTCCGGAACCTGTGACGGCAACACCGATCAAGTCCCTCGCCTGTAGCGCGATTGGAATAGCAGCTCTCTGAATGGGCGTGGGATCGTTGTAACCAACTCGGTGGACGATGTCGAGGAGACGACCAGGCAGACCCGACTCGTCCCAGTTCCGCATCGGGTTCGGAATGGCACCGCCTTTAGTCGCGATACCGAAGTCCTCCTTGAAGATTCTCCAATCACGGGCTGTCATCTCGTTCAGAGCCTTGTCTGTCCATCGCTTTCCGAAGCCAAAGCGTTCTGCTCGCTTCCTAGCCAGATCGCGACTGTTGTACCACTCATCCATAAATTTTTGCGCAAGCTCGGGGCCGTCCTCGCCGTATTGCTCTTCAATCCGCCGGGCGCGGCGCCTGGCAGCCTGCTCGGCCTCTTCCCCGAAGTCGTCACCCCCGCCTATCCCAGACAATGACACGACCTTGCTGGTGGTGACCCCGGCGCAAGCTGATCATCCTTGAGCGTGGTTCTTCGCCTTCATCCCAGTCGAACTTAAACTCGGTCGGCCGCTTGCGCTTCTTCGCCGCAGAAAAGCTAGAGTTGCGGTTCACCTCGGGGCCTAGGTAGCGTTCGCGCAGCTGTTTCTTTTCGAATTCCTCCTCGGTCATCCTAGCATCACCTCCCTTCTTGGACGCGCCCTTTCCATTCTGACCAGACCTCCGGTCTTGTTGTTGTCTTTCGGGCGGTCGGTCTGTATCGTGATCGCGGTGGTTCTCGGCAGGCGCATTTGCCTTCTCGAGCCACTTCTTCTCGGATTCGGCTTTCTTTCGTGCATCCTCTTGCTGCTTGCGCCGCAGATCTTCAGCCTCGTTCTTAGCCTTCTCGGCCGCCTGACGCTCACGCTCCTTCTTCGGAACGAATCGGAGCTTTGGCTTTTCGGGGAGAGGCATGGTGGACGTGGGGTGCTTGAAGGTTCTATTCGAATCGCTTGGGAGATCGGAAAGCCTTGAGATGCACGGGAAGGATTATGCAGAAGTCCAGGCTATTGAGCTTGCCTCCCAAATAGTAGATTTTGACCGAATGACGGTCTAAGTGGTACGTCTGCCAGTCGGAAATCCCGACGTGGAGCGAAACTGAGGACTCGTTACAAACAAACAGAAGTGACGACAGTGTCGAGGCGTGACAGTATGGAGACTGTCACGTCCATGAGCAGGAATGTGGACCCATTTTTTGTATGTACGTACAGGGGTCCTTACAGCTCCAAAATTTGAATCGCGAACCGATCATCACCCGCGAGCTTCCCCCGACTCCAGGAGGGCATCCATCGAGACGCCATTGCCGACCACACGCCTACACACTGCAATCGACGCTACGATGGCGGCATCACAACCGTACGCCCAGCTCGCGAAGGCGCTTCCGGCCCGCCTGCAGCGCTTCATCGCCCGGTATCCGGCGCCCTCGATCCTACCTGCAGGCGCCAACCCCGAGACCTTCAAGACAGGCTACCAGGAAGCCAGTGCAAACCCCTTTTCCCGACAGAAGCACCCGGTGACAGGCGTGTGGCACGAGCCCGTATACTCTCTGCGTCGCCAGGCTGAGCTGGTGAAACTCGCGCGCGAGCATGGCGTTGAGGAACTGCTGCCGCCTACCGTCAAGGGATCAGAGTACCAGCTTGCCCACCGGGTTGAACACGGTCTGAGGGTCAAGGGTACGGGTGTGGGACAGAAGGTTAAGGGCCACCAGCACGAGAGGATGGTCATGCCAAGGTACGTGATGCCCATGGTGGTGATTGTGCTGTTGATGGGGTGGGCTAACACTTTCAATAGAATGGAGAGGAGGAGAAACGCCATGCTAAACATGCCAGACTTGATGAGGCAGTGGAAGAAGGTGAGTTTGTGGCGCGGAGTTGTATATTTGGCGGATTCTAACCCTCATCAAACAGGTCGGAAAGTACAGGTGGAAGAAGTTCCCCAAGTCCGTCAACGGTTGAGCCACGAGACCACCCCAGATCTAAGTATCTGTGTATACAAACTTGTACAATTTGCATCAAGCATGGAAAGGACATTGACTTCATTAATGTCTCTATCACTCGCCATTCCGGTGATTTACGATCTTCGGTGAACAGAACAAATAGCGTTGACCGAACCATCGATCAAGGAGTGTGTTATAGTGTCCGGCATGTTGACTCTTCCCAAAATTGGTGAAGTAGTTGGTGATCTTACAACGTCCCAGAGCCACCGTCTCGTGTTAGAACTTTAAGTGCATCTCAGGAACCGTCATGGACTACTTGTCTATGTTCACGTGTGATGCGCAACCGTGTCTTTCGGGCTTGGCTGAGTGCTCCTATGCAGCCTGCCCCGGCTCAGACTTCGTCCAATTCAACTCCAGTCCAAACTCAGTCACCATGTCTGTAAAGTTCAGGTTGTCTTTCGAGCACCTACTCCTGGAGCGGGAATTTGGCACTCAATGTGAAGGCGGGAAAAACCCCCCAAGTTCTCCGCTGTTGTAGGAGAACATTCACTGGACTTATTCGCAACGTAGGTACTGAAATTCCTACACAGCATCCAGACAACTTGAAGGACCATAGTCTAGCACAACATACCATAAAGAGCATCATCTTTTATAGGTAAGTATTTCCCAGCTGTATTCGCCTTGGATGTCACTTGATAATAAATGGGCTAGAGCATGGCTCATATGTGAGTAAGAGTTGGCGCACTAGCTTGGATTTGCTATTGTACTTTTTAAGCGGCTTGGGGATGGAACTTGGCTGGTCCGTCGAGACGGAACAAGCTTTGAGCAGCCTACGCTAGCACAGCGACTTGACCACTTATTGTGCAGGTGTCATTGCTGTAAACTCACGCCTTGGCATTTCGCAATTCTAACATGCTAGTCATGATCATTAGGAGTCAATCAGTATGATAACATGAAGACTTGACCTTGAGACGGGAGCCATGTGGATTGCACAGATGCGTACCTAAATCGAGCCGCTAGTTTTGCCTCAGGGCTGAGTACCTAGGTCAGGTAAGCTGGAGCTAAAAGCAGCAGTGGCCCTTAATTCGCCCAGGGCGCATGGGGCCAGTCAAACCCATCGGGGTCACTCACATCACAGCACGCTGCTGGACCACAATGAGCCACTCGCCCTCACATCCGGTTGCGACAACATCTAATTATTATGAAATACTCGGTATTTCTCCGTCGCTGCTGGACACAGAGCGAAATCAGCAAGCTCAGTTGATCAAACGCGCCTACCATCGTGCTCTTCTTCGACATCACCCAGACAAGGCAAAATCCGAGTTTGGGGCAAGTGCCGGATCGAACATTGGGATCGGAACATCCACAGCGTCTGAAGTGGCCCAGTTCACGGTTGATCAGATCACAAACGCCTACAAAACACTCTCAAGTCCCAGCTCACGCACAGCGTACGATGTGCTGCTGAAAGCTGCTCGAAACAAAAAGGACCAGCAAGTTTTTCAGACTGGAGTGGAAAACGTCGACCTTGATGATCTAGAGTTTGACGAAGCAAAGGATCTTTGGCACCGCAGCTGCCGGTGTGGGAACGATCGGGGTTTCCTCCTGGGCGAGGGAGATCTCGAGGAGGCTGGAGAAATAGGCGAGCTCTTGGTTGGTTGTCAAGATTGCAGCCTCTGGATGAAGGTGCATTTTGCAGTCATGGACGACTGAATAAGTCGACTGGAGAATTTCATCCCCCCAAGATTCAAGTTTAGCCTCTCATTGCAGTGACAGGCTCTTCGCTTATTATGACCCATAGCCTAAGGCTTGATACCAGCATTTTTTGCTGGTACGATGGGCAATTGAAAGGCTTGTAGGCATTCTCGAGGCATGTGATACATATAATTGCGATATCAACTTGCATCCCGAGTCGAAGCAAAGTCAACGACAGAGGACTCAGACTCAGATGAGACGGGATGGTCAGTAGCATTAGCCGATATCTGGCTTGCCACTATCCCGGGCAAGACAGCACAGATATCTCTTGACAGTGGTGGTTAAGCCAAGGGTCGTCATTTAGCCATTGGTGGATCGCCTGCATGCTTCAATGTATGTTTCGTGCATCGGAAGGTAGTATTTGCTCGCTGAGGTGTAATCTCTACAACCTAACGATGGCGCAAACGACTCGACCGACCAGTACGGCGCTCGAGGTAGTGGCAAGACTTTATGCGGTTCACTGGTAAACATCAGCCTCAATTTGTGGTCACCTGATCGACGTGGTACCCATAATGAAGACTCCCGAGGTATTTTAGGCTCCCTGGCGGTTGCGGCGACGCGGTGCAAGCAGACAAGAAAATTGCGCGTTGAATGCTTCTGACTGGGCTGACATCTCCAATGCGGCAGCGGGGGCGGGGTCAATTTCATTGCTGAACCATCGACACCACCATGACGTTGATAGGTAGGTGGTGGGGTCGAAGGATTGGTTACTTGCGAAGGACCTAAGCTCTCGGCCATTTCTCAACCCAGCGAGAAGTATAACGCTAGTCACTGTGCCCCTCCTTGATCGGCCTCCGGGACACTGCCTGGCATCTTTTTTTCGTGCCAGTCCCCCTCCTCGACTTGCATCATCTCTTCCCTTCGGTATAACCTCACCACAAAGGCACGCTCCTTCTTCAATTCCTGCCATCATGTCGGACCAGAAGATCGCCATCGTCTCCGTCTACGACAAGACCGGTCTGTTGGATCTGGCCAAAGGCCTCAACCAGCAGAATGTTCGCATTCTCGCGTCCGGTGGCACTGCCAAAATGATCCGCGAGTCGGGTTTTCCCGTCGAGTAAGTC